ATAAGAATCGCAAAGTGCGACATTTAAATCGCCTGATAAAGAATCGCAACGTTCAACTTTTAAATCAGTTAAATATGAAAATCAATGTTTGGAATGGAGGAATAAGGACTTCAATACTTTCGCTTCGCGGAAAATTTAATATCTCACAAAATACTTTAACTTGTGCAACAAAGAATTTCAGCGGTAATTAGCGAAAAAAATGGAAAAATCTGAAAAAAAGCAAAAATCCGCGAATCCGCGGAAGAATCACATCCCTGATAACAAACCTTGACCGAAAATTTCATCGTATGCTGGGAGGTGCATTTCACCATTTTAAATGAGCACTGGAAACTCGAGCAAGCATGATGGAGCAGGCAGGAAATTTTCCGTAATTCTAAATCTAAGAGAGCTAATGATAGTCGAAAAAGAATTTTTTTTGTAACAATTATGAACTTTAAAAAAAAATTATTATATTTTTTTAATTGAAAATTCTGAAATTTCGTTTCCAATTTCGTTCATATGCATGATTACCTAAACATGGACCTTAAAAGCAGTTCTAGAAGTTCTCCGCAAAAAAAACTATTCATTGAAAGTGAAATTTTAGAGGTAGAGATATGCATATTTAAGCATTTTTAGATTTTAGTTTAGACAAAGTCTTTAAGCACACAATAATTAAAAACTTAAAAATAAAATTTAAGAATAATGATATAAAAGTATGTAGAGGTGTCCGTTTCAGGAATTAAATTTTAAAAAAAATATAATATTATAATAATTTCGACGAAAATCTTCTTGAGAGCAGCCTCAAATCTTTTTCCCAGGGTACCCTGAACTGCGGTGATTGCTTTGTTTGCAACGTTACCTTATTTACCTAAATTATCTTAATTTAAAGTTAAAAACTTTTATGTTTTCTAGAAATTACTGTCAAAAATTACATTCGAACCAGCTCAGGAATCTTACCGCAATTCAATGATTTGGCGACTAAATTGGTCAGCTTGCTAAGTCTTTCGCTAAATCCTCAAATTATGGTAAAGTAGATTTTTCTGGTTTTATTTCAGTGGAATTTTCGACAATAATTATCAGTAAACGTCAAATAATTAACACAAAATTCAGACATTTTAGATAAATAAATGTATTTCAAATGCACATGAACAGTCTGTACAAAAGGAGACACCCCCATCTCCCCTCTAGTGGGTCATTCTCACTGAATGCGGTTTACGCATTTCATATCGCTGTAGAGAAAAATGGAGAATTTGATGGGTAAGTTTTACGCTGGAAAATATTTTTCACCAATCAGATTCTCATTCTCCCTCAACGGCGATCGTAATTGAGTGAACCATATTCAATGGAAATGGTTCTTAACATTATAGTCACTGACCTGAATCACCCTATATAAATAACAATAATTTTGATCACCGAGAGGGTACCTGTTGCATAAAAAGAAGAATAAAGTATGAGCACTTAACTTCACTGACTTTTAAAAATTAAAAAAAACTCAAGGTATATTTATGATCAAATTGACACTAATAATTCCTTCACATGGAAACACAATAAAAAACCATTAAGGCTGTTATTCGAAAGCTCTTTTGACACACGATTCTTCTTTTTTTTGTTCTTGTTTATTTACGTCACACTAGAGCTGAACAATGGGCTATTGGCGACGGTCTGGGAAACATCCCTGAGGATGATCCGAAGACATGCCATCACAGTTCTGATCCTCTGCAGAGGGGATGGCACTCCCGCTTCGGTAGCCCGACGACCTGCACGCGAAGTCGAGCACTTCACGGTAGAACAGTTTAACGAGGACCAATACCGCACACCCTCGGTCCCTACGCAGACTGATCCAAGTGGTCACCCACCCGCACACTGACAGCAACCAGTGATGCTTGACTTCGGTGATCTGCTGGGAATTTGACACGCGAAATAAGGCTTTTTATCAATTAATATTTCATTTATTGGTAGTACAAATTAGTTAGGTCCATTATTTTGCGGTGAAAAATGCATTTATTTTTGAACAAAGTGAATGAATAGATTAATCGTCTTTGCTCGTATTCCGGCCGTTTTTCTCGTAATGCACGGCTCAAACGAATCAATTGTAGCCTATACCGTTAGCCCGTAATAGAACCGCCAGGTTGTAGCAGCTCATAGTATACAACATAAGTCACCATTCACCAATCTACTTTCACCATTCACTATTCTTGAAACGTCGAAACCATTCTCTACATGATTTATCAGTTAGAGCATTGTCACCGTTAACTTCCACAAGCATTCGATGCTCTTCAGCTGCACTTTCTTGCAATTAAAGCAGAAACATAAAACCTCCCGCAAATGCTGCTCAGTTATCACAAAATTTGAAATACTCAACAAAGTAATAAACAGGCATTTTGTATGAAACTCAAAGCGATATAAATTGAATATTATTGACAGATGTCTAACCTCTCTGAAAATATCAAAACCAGCTGTCACTATGAAATATTCATAACAGCCAGAGTCATCTTTGACCGAACTAATTTGTACTCCCAATAAAAAACTGTTTTAAATACGAAAAAGTTATTCATAACTATTAATGTAATAATAAAAGCATTATTTTATCCGATATTGTTTTTTACTAAACATTTAAACCGGTTAATTGTTCTTGCAATTAGCAAAATACTTCCTATTTTCTCAGCCTCAGTCAACAGATATGCATAAATTCGGAAAAAAAGCTATTTTTAACTTGGAGGAAATTTAAAAAAAACCGAGGGGGGATAAATTTTAATATCTTGATGCCATTTGGCGCAAAACTAATAAAAAACATCGATGTAATTTCAAAAATAAAAAAAAAATCATTTCACAGTTTTTTACTATTTTTACGACTATAGGGTACTTTAATCCTAAATATCATAACTGCATTAAAATCACGTTTTATTTAATTAAAATTCGATGCATAGAAAGCCAATCAATTTCAGATGGACTCAAATCAACACCAATCCGACGCATTTCAAAACCGACTTCAATAACTATTTCTAGAATAATCTGGAAAACTATACCATCAGAATTTACTCGGAAGCAAAGCTAGCGAAAGTGAGATATAAACTGCCGCAAAGCATGGTGGGTGTGCAGGGGGGGGAGAGACTTCTTTGTCTCGTCACCAAACGCGGTAATCCATTAGACGAGCACACCACCGCCATTGTCTTATTACAAGAGATGCCTCATTAAGGGAAGGCTCCTTTGGTAAGAGGATCCTTTGGTCCCCCAACTTCTTCTCGGACCATTTGCCGGAGACTAAGAATGAGAGATTGGTGGCCGTACATTTCAGGAGAATTCAGACATGGTCATTTTATTAATGGACAGAGTTGTATATCTTGATGGTTGGATATGTAGTCTTTTCTATCTGGGGGATTCGTGTTCTAGTATTTCAATGACAGATGATGATTTTATGCGATTTTCTTCTTCTTTTTTTTTCTATATTGTCTGTATGAGGAAAAAACAACGCTATGAATAACTTTTAATCTAATAAGCGAGTTTTCTCACTCTAAATTACGATCTGTATGCTAGAAGAACCTGACGAAGGTGTGTTAATTAGTAAATGCTTATAAGGAAAGTTACACATTAATATTATTAATTAGCATAGCGAATGGGGGAGAGGTATAACATTAGATCATAATGCTTTAATATCATAATGCATTCAATATCATATCACAAAAAAAAAAAATCATAATGCTTCAATAGTGGAATATTCGCTTCTCAAATTGTTTTTCTGTGTTCAATCCCGAACGCAGCTAAGAATCTTTAATTAATTCCTTGTAAGGATTTAATTAGCATATTATAACTATTTTATTAGCATTTTCAATTATTAACAGATAAAATAGCATAACACCACAAGCACTAGAGATTCAATTGTTAGAAAGCTCGCTTCCTAATCTGTTTTTTTTTTTTTTGGGNTTTTTTTTTTTGGGGGGGGGGGTCGATACTGAACACGCTTAAAATATGCTAATATGCTTCAAATGTAATGCATTATTAATAAGCACAGCAAGAAAGAAAATGGCTTCACGCGACAAGCATTCGAGTTTCGATCCCGAACACACTTAAAATAGGCCAATTATATTAGCCTTACTAGCAAATATAGTTCATTATTAGAGAAAAATAACTTTTGATGAAAAATATTGATTGTTTGATGGTATAATGATAACTTCTCAAACTGATTTTCCGAGTTCGATTCACGACATTGCATTTACAAATAATAGGATAATTAGTATTTTTCCTTCGATTGGAATAGGTGATGTTTGCTTTTAAGCGATTATTTTCGAAAAAATATAGGTTCAGTATGAAATTGATACCATCACAGAAGCTAACTCGAAGAGGAAAATTCATATCCAACATTCCGGACAAAGAAAAACGTTACTGCAAACACACAGCAAAAACACTAAAGCAGGAAAAATTGACTAAAAAAATTGAAAAAGAAAGAAAAAGTTCACAGACCGTGACTAACTCGAAGTGTTAAACTCATTGGCATTACATTGAGCAAATCACCGTGTGACAGCAAGCACAAACTAAACTAAAACATAAATAAATAAATAACAGAACGTGGGGATATGATTAACTCAAAATGTAAAATTCATAGGCAATAATTTAAACAATTTAAACGTAATTGCAAAACCTGGACTTTTATTTTTAAAACCTTTATTTGAACCAGTAACACATAAAAAAAATTTAAAAAAAGTGACAGAATATTTCTAAACGTATTCAAGATTTTTTCTTCTACAACTCAACTCTTAAATACGTGTATATTTAACGCAGTCGTATTTCTCTAAAAATTTTTTTTTAATAGATTAGTAAGCCTGTACACTTTATGGATTCTTAAGTTTTAATTTTATTTTTTTAAAAAAACTGGCAACTATAAAATGAAGGAAAAAAAAGTGGAAAATTGACTTTACGCTGCCACGAGCAAGCCTTTTGTTTTCAATATTTAAAATATAACTTGAAATTGAAAATGGTTTAAATTTTCGAAACTACATTTTTATAAAATTTTAAATTCTGGATAGATATAATATATTATTACAAAATGAGTTTACTGAAAGATTGTGAGAAATATTTTTCAACTAAAAATTTATACCATGTCTTAGGAATTGAAAAAGGCGCGTCCCAGTTGGATATCAAAAAAGCTTATAAAAAAACGTCTTTAATTATACACCCGGATAGAAATAAAAGTCAAGAAGCTACTAGAAAGTTCCAAATAATGGCTAAAGTTCACTTCATTTTGTCCGATATAGAAAAGAGAGCAGCGTATGATGAAATAGGTTTGATTGATGAAGAAAACAGTTTTTCCGAAAACAATTCAACTCCAGAATTCTGGGAACAGTACTGGAAGAATTTATTTCCTCGAATTACAACAGAAGACATCGAAGCTTTTTTATATTGGTATAAAGAATCAGAGGAATTCATTCGAGATCTAAAAGAATGCTATTTGAAGTACGAAGGTGATATGAACAAATTGTCTCAAGCTTTTATAGGTTACGACGTAAACGATGAAGACAGGTTAAAGAACATTTTGACAAACCTAATTCATAAAAATGAGATTCCACTGTTTGGCAAATTTATGAAAGAATCCAAAAGAAAAAAAGAAGCAAGAATTAAGCGTTTCAAATCGGAAGCTAAAGAAGCTGCAAAAGTTAAAGAAGAAATGGAATCAAATCTTGTGACAACAATTTCTAGAAGGAAAGAAGAACGAGAAAAACAATTTAAAGCTATGATACTTAGTTTAGAAGCCAAATATGGCGATAAAAAAGCTAAAAGAAAAAGAAAGAAGCGGTAACTCAATCTTCAATCCCATAGAATTCTTTTTACATTTCTATTAAATATATTACTTCTTCAAAATATACATTTTACCTTTTATTGCAGTTCAAATTTTTGTGTCTTAACGATTTTAATTTTATTTTGAGCATGGTTTAAAATCTAATCAAATACAATGGAACTAATTAAAAACACTTAATACTATACATTTTAATGGTTCGGTTATAAAATTCAAACAAATAAACATTAGAAATAACATTTTGTTCACAATTTTCATGCTCTTGTCAATTCTGAAAGAGATATAGAAGCTATTTTAATATTTTAAAATCAAATCGATTATAAAATTACCTTGCAGGATGTCGGCTATTAATGAAGAAAAATAACTGTCCTTTTATATGCAAACTGAGAATGAAATAGAAATAGTGACTTTATAATTCAATAAAAATGAAAGAACGTATCAATAGAACAGTTATCTACATGGGCAAGTAAAATGCACAATGAAAGCAAAGAGCGAATGAATACAAAATAAAATCGCAGCAAATGAATACAAAATAAAATCGTCTGCAGATTAATATTATATTATTCGTTTGCAAAGAAATAAATTTAAAACATTTCTAAAACTTTAAATTCAAAATCGTCTGATAATTGTAAAATGAGAATCGTGAGACTAATAACTATCGTATCGTGTCATCTTTAAGTCACAATACAACTGATTTTTCGACGTAAATCCGACACCAACCAGACTTGCGTCTTCATATATCTGAACTTCATTCATTTATTCGGGATAATTTATACTTTTATAATTTATACATACATATTATAACATATGTATCAAAATTTCTTTTATAGGATTTACTTTCGAATAATTTTAAAATATCGCTTAATTCAATCATTTTAGGTTCTGTTGGCGAGTTATCGTTGCTTTCAGCTTTCGAACAATTTAACATTTTAGGTAGTTAATTAATACTTTAAAATAAAAATTTCAAGAGATATTTACGTAGAATAGTTCCTGCACAAAAATGAACACTAAACTATAAATGCAAATTTATCGTAACATTTATAATACTAAATTACGTAATAGAATAGTTAGTTCTGAGCACCCAGCAACCATTCGCGCCAAACTAAAAAAAATCGGAGTTGCTATAGAAGTTACTGTTGTCTGTTGTATCGGAACCGTTAACTTTTTAATGATTCGGTTATTTCAGCATTTTTTTTAAATATAAATCCATTTCGGAAACACGTGCAGCTTCCTATCATATGCGTAATTAAATCAAAAGAAGATTTTAATTAAAAAATAAAAATGTATTAATATTTGTGCAAAGTAAAACATTTTACAAAGGGTCTAAACTCTATTTTCATTAAAGCGGAGTGGCATGGTATAAAAATGAATAATAATATAGCAGTGTGTGATAAAAGCATAAAATTTTTACCATAGCTAAAAAACATGATATGAGCAAGAGTTTAAGATATTGCGGTACTTTATATTCCATCTCTAAGGTTTAAACTGGGGGAAAGAGGAAAAATGGACTTGCTTTAGCTTGATAAAAATATTGATAAATATGCAAATGGGGTATTGTTTTTATCTATTTTCCTTACGCTGAATTGAATAAAAACGATCCTAAATTGATAGAACGAATAATTTAAAAATAATTTAGATTCTTTGTATGGATAGTTGACTGTGTAAAGCTACGCACAGATGACGCTAGGGGTTAAAATTCGTTGTAAGATTTACGTGTTTCTATATTTCCGATTAATTTTTACGTCAAAGTTTGAAAAAGCGAGTCATCTATTATTATTATGCTTGTAATGTTTACAAGATAACGCTTTCTTTCAGTTTAAATTTCAGCCAAGCAAGTAACAAATTAATTCGGATAACAAATTAAGACCCCATAAGCATGCTACGATGCCTCCCAAAAATTAACAACCGGCGATATTTTGCACGATTATATCCAAATAAAGGATAACACACAAAGAATGACAAACCTTGCTTTTTATTTGTGCTGTGATATTAATTTTCTTAAATTTGTTTTAGGCTTCTGACCTGTTAGAATTTATAAATTATTGAAAACTGTTACGAATGGTAAATTTTTTTTTAAAAATTCACAATAAAAAAACTTTGTTAACACATCGTTTAACGTAAGCGGAGAAATGCACCAGAAGTTTTCCAAATTTCTACCTGTTTTAGGAAGCTTGTTATTGTTAGCATTTAGTCAACCATCCATAAGAAGTACAGTTTTGTACTTATAACCATTTACGCTATCCTCATTGCTATCTAGACAAGTGAGGTATTAATTCCAATATATTTCTTTTTACGCTAAATTGAATGAAAACAAAATATAATCGTGTCTATTAGTTTAAAACATTTTTAGGCGTTAAAGCACTTGCGCCTATTTAGGCTGTTGCCGCTGCAATCTAGGAAGTTAAATATTGTATCCTGTCCTGTGCAATTTCTTACTCTTAACTGTAAGAAATTAAAACCAAAGTTTATAAAATTAACAGTTTAAAAGTACAATTTTTAGAATTAACAGTTTAAAAGCACAATTCAATTACAACCATTTTAAAAAATTGTTTTGTTTTTTTTTCCTTCTTTTTTGAACTAATCATTACCGTTCTTTAAATTTTATTTTTTCAATTATAGAGTAATGTAATAACGCTGTGTTTGCATTTTCGAATTTTTTTATTTATTTTTTGAATCAATTGACGTTTTATAAGAGATTTAATAAATTCATCAATCCATTCGCCCTATTTATTCCATGAAAAAACACTTTCCAAGAAATTAGTCATTCTTTTAATTAAATTAAATTACCTTAATTTTAACTTTTTGTTATAAGCTTACTGATACACATATTTAGCTGAATAAGCTCTCATTAGTTAAAGCTTTCATTGTCATAAAAAAAGCGTATTTTCTATTCTCTGGTTCAATAGGTTTAATTTTTCCCCTGATAGAATTCCCCTGATCTGCAGAAAGTTTTCATTTTTTTTCTTCTTCAAAATGTGATGCAAATGCAGAAAAAAAAAATCACTAGAAAAGTATATCTGCTAACATTGGAGAAAGAAAAATAACGCAGATTTCTCTAGCGACATTTTTTAGGCTACAAGTACAGTTTTGATACATTATGCATGATCATGTAAGTCAAAAATAGAAATTCAAAATTGGAAATAATATAAGCACTTCTATTTAGCGAAGTAAAAATATGTATATAAATCTTTATCTAAAGAAGATTTTTTTAAACATTGATAATAATTTAAAGTATTTTATTTTATGACCACCGACCCAATTATTTGGGTTTATGGTTACTAATGTTTAACTCCTTAGCCTTGTAATTTTGCACCTAATCCAGAAGACAAGGGAACTCCTGTATCAAGTATTGCTAGAAATTTGCCTTCCAGGAAGACTGTTTGGTGGAACTAACCCACATTTGCGATACATGGAGAGGAAAACCACAAAAACCTCCAACAGTTAAGGGACTCTAACAAATGATCCGTCAACCACTGAGAATATTTCTTTTCTGCGGTTGGCGCAACTTGGATGCGGTATTCGTATATGTTGTTGTCGTTTGTAATGTCACTTGCCACACGGGCAAGCCTCCTTGGTGAAACCAAGCAAATTTAAGTGTGCGATTCTTGTTTTTTTAAGTGGCGCCATCTATGGCCAAAAATTCGACTTCTGCCACACCATACGTCGCACCCGTTTATAGGGCGGACCCATTCATACATCCATCCACAGATCGTAATTTTGACCTGAATCAGAGAACGATCGATCACCAATCCAGTACCCCCAGAGGTATTGATTTGTTATGGGAACATAGAGGACTTTTGCAACTCGACAGATTTAAAGTGCATCAGTCACTTTACTACACGAGGAGTCTTCGGTCGGCGGGATTCGAACCCACAAACTCTCGGACATGGGGCCATCGCCCTACCGACCAGGCTAATCCCGGTCCAGTATTCGTATATACTAGCCATTGGTGGGATTCGAACCCGTTTCACCTCATTGAAACAGTACTGGCAATAGCACCATCTGTTAAGGAATAAAAGAAGTATTTTCGCCATTAGCAGATATTTTACCAGCAAAAAAATTTTTTTTTAAATTTCTTTAACAAATACGGAGAAATTTGAGAATATATGGGTAAAAAAGAAATAGTCGTGAAAAACAAGAGTCTTCGTTAAATAGCAGAAGACTTGACTGGTATGGAAAAGTAAGTATTCCTTAAAAGACGAGGTTGTTACGTTTGATCCAGATCCTTGTATTCTAAGTTGGATTCATAATGACTAATTAGATTGCATTTCTGTGGAAATTAGATTATTACTGAAATTATAATCCAGGAATTAGAAAATACCCTGCATATCTGAAGTGTTTGTTAGGTCTTACAAAATTTTCAAGTTATCTGCAGTAATAGGAATCATTCAAATAAGAAAAGAGGGGACTTATATTTAGCCTAACATTCTGATTTTAAACTTTTTTTATTATATTTAATTAAAAAATATATTTTGAAGTTATTTTCACTTTTAGAAAACTAAAGTAAAAAAAAAAAAAAAACTCTATAAAAAATATTCGTAACCAGTACAATTTTACTGTAAGTAAATATCATTGTAAGTAGAATTTGGCCACCTGCCCTTTACAGTAGCCGGAAGGGGTACACATCATTTTTCAGAAGAGATTTGAGGAAAAAACCTTTTGATTTTTAAGTGGCTTAAATGTATTATATTTTTAATAGCTTAACTATTCATTAGTGCAATGAGAACAAGATTAATGTCCTCAAAATGCAAAGGAATATTTTTTATTTAAAAAACTGAGTTTTCCACACTTAGTCTTTCTAAAATTTAATTATAGCAGGTTTTCAACTTTGTCTCTAGACAAATTATTTTTTTCTTATTTTAAAATTATATTTTAGTTTTGAAAAAAAAATTCCTAAACTACATTTGTTTAGAACAAAAGTATAAGAAACTTTTAGTAAGTTTCAAAGTTTCTTTTGAAAAGTAGGTTAAAGAAGCTTTTTCTAAAAAATTGAATTGTCAAAAGTTTTAAATCCTTTGAAATAATATCTTTACATTTTAGCAATTTTAATGTTATAATTTTGATATTACTTTATAGTTTATTATTCGGAATAAGTTTTTATACCAGTTAAGCAATTTTTTACAATTTTTTTTGAGGCAGAAGGGTTATACACAGGGCAGTCGAAGGTCGAATTCGGGCACCGAGTCACTGGTTATGCATCCCTACTTGGTCACCGGTTATGGAAATGTTGACTATTTATGAGTCAATCGGTCAACAAAAAGTTGACCGATTCGATCACTTATTTACATTTGTATTGTTCAAGCAAGTAATAGCTTTGAATTCATGTTAACTAATTTTATTTGAGGATATCGAGAATTTTTAAAAAAAATTGATTTAATAGCAATTGACAAATTAAAACTTAAAAAGCTCATTTCTTTTAATAATAAATTGTACACTTCTTTTGATAATAATTTGTAGTTAATTGTTATTTCCCCGGAAATAATTAAATTTTTTCAAAAATTATCATTAAAATTTTGCAAAAACTTTTGCCCTTTACTATAAAAAATGGTTTTTAAGAATTAATCTGAAAATATTTTAGAATAAGTCTCAATAGTTCTGGGGGGAAATGTTTGTTGAAATTGAAGAATAAAAAATTTAAGAAGAATAATTTTCAACTGAAAAATGTTAAAATTCAAGCAAAATGAATAATTTTCAAAAAAAAACAACATAGAATTCAATTTTATTTGTTTTTAAACTATTCGCCATTTGTAAAAGAAAACTATCATTCTTTCATTTTAAAACAATAAAATATTTCGCACAATATTTCCTCGTGAATTTTTTTAAAATAAACTTATTATTTTAGGTAATCAATAATTAACTAAAGTCAGTTTGATTAATGATGCTGACACTAAAAATAAAAACAATTTTATTTACAAAATTATAATTCCATAATAAAACTAAGAATAAAGTCTGATTGTGTTGCCAGATGCACTAAATATCCAAGGTCTCTGAGGATGGAAACAACAGTCCAGACTCATTTCATGCCCTTTGAGTGCTTTCACAAAATGGATGGTTGGATTTTGAAGAAGATCACTGTAAAATAATTTTTTAAAAAAAACTTTTTATAAACAATTATTCAAATTTACATAAAGTAGAATTTTTATATATTAAATTAAACTTTAAATAATTAAATTAAATTTTAAAGAAGCTAATTTTCAAAAATTAAATAAATTTTAAATAATTAAAGTCAACTTCAAAATTAAATTTTAATAAATAAAAATTTATATTTAATTAAATTTAATATTCAATTAAATTAAAATTAAAAAATATAATAACAAAGAATAATAAAAAGGGATGATAAATAAGTATTGCTGGTAAATGCTGTTAATTAAATGGTAAAAAATTAATTTAAAGTTAATAAAGTTACATCTTTTTTAAGCCCTATGAGACTGCACGAAACCGCAAGATGATAATTATCTTATGTGACATATAGGTAATACACAAAATTATATATACCTTAAATGATAAAAAATATTTTACATACCTGTATACCATTCCATGACTAATGATAACATATCCATCATCGGATGTAGATGCAAAAAGTGGATACCGCCTGTGATAAACTACTTGGCGCACTGCTTTTTTATGATGCCTTTAATAAAGAAAATAATAAAATTAGTGAATGACAGAGAAAAGTATATTAACTGACAAATCTACAGACGTGCCAACCTAGCAAAATTAACATTCAGGAGTTTCCTTAACAAGAATTCAGGAGATTTCAGGAGGGATAAAAAAAGGCGCACGGTATGCAATATTTGACACTTCTAAGGAATTTTAAGTAAAAAATTTATTAAATATAAGAATGCAAGAAATTTTACACACTAATAGAGCACAAATTGTGGAAAAATATTAAATAGAAATAAAATAATTAAACACAGATTTGGAAACAAAATTATATTAGGTAGATACTCTTTATTTAAAAAATAAATACCATTTTCTTAATAAAACATTATTCAAAAACCCTTGACACTGTAATAAAAATTAACAAAAACTTATAAAAAATAAACAAATTGAAGAACTATTTTATTTTAAAAAACCAATTCAATACTAATGTATAATAGTACTAATGTCTGTACAATAGAGAATCAATTATCCGGGATGCTCGGGACCATCGCCATCCCGGATGTCTTAATTTCCCGGTTTTCTGGATTGACCAAAAAGTGTCGTTAATCGATATTTTATTGAGCCCAAATTACAAGGAAAAAGTGTAAACACATTTTAAAGTAAGAGAGAAAAAAAGAGCACCCCTAAATCGAAAAAGGAAAAAAATTGTAGAAAAATAACATTTAAAAGAATAAAAAAATTTGCAAGTTTAGACAAGAAAAACAAGCTTAAAAGGAAAACTTATTAATCTAAATAAAAACAACACTTGAAAATTATCGAACCGAAACGATAGTTAAAAAACGGCACTAGCATAAATATTAAAACCTGGAACAAGGCAAGATCAATTGAATTTATAAAAAAAAAAAAACCCTAATGATAAAATTTAGGAATAAAAATAATTTATTGAGTGCGAAATTTATCAGGAAAAGGAAGAAAAAAAATCAAACGTAGTGGAATCAGAAAAACAAAACTGCAATCTACTTCATAAATTAATTGTATGTTTAAATTAATAAACAATTTTCCTTTTATTTTTTTTTTTTATAAAAACACTACTTTTAATTAAAGCAGGTGCGATTCCACATCAAGAAAAACTTGCGAATGGTACCGCACTTCCAAAGAATCAGAATTTATTCAAAAGGAAAATTTTTTTATTTTTTATTAATCAATGTCAAATAGATAAATATATTTTTCTCTTTCATCTTCTGTTTACTGATATGCATGTGCAATGCATTTTCCCCACCCCCTCGTAAATCAAACTAGCAAACGAAATCATCATGCCACTCCTTTGAGTTTAACGACCTAAAAGAGAATAAAGATCTAAAATCTTCAAGGTCGCGGAAGAAATGACGTTTCTCTGGGTAAACGGGGAAAAAAATTCTTCCCTTCCTCACATTTTCCTCTACTCAACTTCAAGGATTAGTCCAGTTTCCACTTTTTTTTTTCATATCGTTTTAGTTCAAAATGGCTGGAGAATCGAGCAAAATTTTCTCCCGGGTTATCTAGATACCGGATAAATGGTTCTCTACTGTATGCATATGAAAAAAAGAGTTGCAGATTTAGCTCTTCGCAATTAAGTCTTGCTAAAGTCATTGGTACATGATTTTTTGAAATTGGTTGCATACTTCCGTTTCGACTTAGACATCCTTGAAAAAAAAAAATTTAATATACGAAGACTAAGCGAATAATGGATATCACGTTGCTAGTTTACAAGTTTGTTGCCAACCGAGTTTCCCCACTCCTGTACGGACGTCACTCGATATCGTCATGTGACGTCATCGCATTCAACTCCACGCGAAGATTCCTACGAATCCCAGTGTAAGGGGGCGGGTGAAATAGGAGTGTTAAAGAGGGGTAATGTTGAAGAGGAGGAAAAAATAAAGCACGTGCAGCTACGCCTCAAGCAGATGGTAGTTCGATAAGAGGGGATGGAATTCACCCTGAAAGAAAAACAAAACTTCCGCAATCGCGGAAAAATTAGGTAATTGTGAGTTTGGCCGTCGATTGCAGTAAAATTCGGGAGTTTTTTTAATCAATTCCGGAGGGCGGGAGAATAACTCAAAATTCGGGAGACTCCCGCAAAATGCGGGAGAGTTGGCACGTCTGAATCTATTATTGATTTGTTACTAATTAATAAAATTTTTACGTTATTAATTTATAGACATTTTGTTTGACTAAATTTATAAATCCATAAGTTAATAAACATTAAACATATAATAATAAATCTATAGCCCACAATATTTTTTTTCTTTGTCTACATTGCACACTAATAATGTGGGATTACAATCATAATCTAAACTACTAAAAAAAATTTAAAAAAGAACTTCAATTTTTGAAACTTGCACAAAATACATATTTTTTTTTATCTTTTTGTATATTAGGAAAAGTATTTTTAGTATGTTTTTTTTTTTTTTTTCATTAGAGAAAACAATTAAGAGTCAAAAAGTCAACTCCACATAAGTTTAACACTAAAAAGACTGGACATTGCTGTATACCTTGAAAGACCGAAGGGGTCAGTTTAGGCCCTCTTAGATTGTCTAAAAGGTGAAGAGCAAAGGGAAAAAAATTATCTGTGACATTGAGCAGATGATAAATTTGCCACTTCATCCCTCTATTAATGTGCCCATTTATAATCTTCTATTTATTGATAGACAAAACAAAGATATTTAAAACAAGAAAAAGTTACATTTTGAAGAATCAATACCTTTAATTACTATTGATCAAATACCTGAACCATTGATAGAGTTTATTCCCTTCCTCTACGGTTAATACAAGAAAAGGAAAAATACATTTTATTCATTTCAATAGTTCCGTTTGATTTAGTCTACAGCAACAAAATTAACCTTTGCCAATTCTGTCACTTGTTTTTTATTTTATTTTTTTCCCCTCTCATGACCTGGATGGAAAATTAAGTGCCCCGAGGAATGCAGGATGCTCGATAACTTTTTTCGGTATTCCGTCTGCGCTTTAATTATTTGGCATACCATAGAGCGTAAGTAGAATCATTGATTATAATAATTGGAATCCTTAAAATTTTTATTAACCTTTATTGTTTTCTTCAGAAGCATTAACTATAAAAAAAACTTACTTTTTTCTGATAAAAAATATAGTAAATGAGCAGCTGTTCTAATTCCCATTGCGACTACTAACAGTGAAGTAATTACAGAGCTCATTCTAGGCAGGGTGAACAGGGCGCAGCACCCTGCTGCCCTTTTTGTCAAAAGAATTCACCCTGTTGCCCCTGAAGTAAATTAGTGGTCTGATGTAATAGACTCCATACCCTTTTTGCCCTTTCTTTCCCAAACCCTTCTTTACTTTTCCCCAAACTCTACAATGGATTTCATGAACTGTTATTTTTAACTCTTTTTATTTAGTTTGTCATTGCTGTCAATACATAGATATATGGGAAAGGAAAAATAGCCATCACAATCCATTGTTGCACTTGTCTTTGAAAGTTTGCAGTTACTTCCACTATCATTAAATCATAATTATTATTAATCATTTTAATTATTTAATCATAACTACAGACACTTAAAAACATACATTTATTATTTTATTAATATATGCATGCATTTTAAATAAATTACTAAGCTAATTAGCTCATTAACT